GGGGGGGGGGGTGGCTAGAATGGATTTTAAGCATGTTAAAAGCACTTAAAGGAAGTAGCAATTTTTAAATATGTTTTTAAGTTATGCAGTGTGAATGGGAATATGTAACAAATATAAAGAAGGTGTTATCCCAATTTGGCTGCAAGCGTGGCATGTTATGTGCCATCAGAGTAGTGAAAGAAGGTTACTATGGATTACTGAACATTTGCTTTAATAAACTTAAGATTAAACAGAGGAAGTTGTTGAAGAAACAGGAGACCTTGTGATGAAATTGCTGAAATTTGTAGGCAAGATCCTAAAGATTCACTCACATCAATGGAGCAGCCCATGAGGGATCCTCTCTCCACAGCCTTTACAATGATGGAGAACAGGTCAGCTGGTGGTTTTTTCAGCTCATACCACTCTGTTACACCTCCAGTAAAATCTTCAAAGCCTTCAGAGGTGCTCCCCCCTGAGAGAGCCTCATAACATCCATTAGCTCTTCAGAAAAGGACAGGGAAAGATGTCAGCAAAGTCTCATGTTTGAAGTATTGTTTTTACAGGTACAAATGTGGTATGAAAAAGAAACTCATACTTAGCATAGGCTTTCTCCAGCAGGGCGCTCCAGAACTCGTTTCCTGAGGCTGAGTGTACAAAGACCAGTTTCCCATCTTTAACTGGGAGCAAATCGTCAATGACGACATCCACCCACTCTCCATACTGCCAGAGCTTTAAAAAGAGATTGTACAGAAGATCGTTATTACACTGCACAGATGTAGTGAAGCAATATATACATTCCCTAAAGGTATTTCATATGCAGATGTAATAATGAGAAAAAAAACATGTGAGGTCACTGTCAGCATAAAGTATGGTTTGTAAACAGGCCCTAAATCCCTGGTGCCCAACCAACAACCCAGGGACCACATGCAACCTTTTGGCACTTACTGTGTGTCCCTCGGGGGCCCGTGCAGTTTTTTTCTTAATCAGCAAATATTCTTTAGACTGGCTTCTAGTAGTTAGGTGGATTCATTTATTTCTTGCACACTATCTTACCTTGTTCTGCACTGTCCATCCCTTTTTAATAGATGTTAAAGAAAAACTCCAGGCAGCAGAACTTTTAACCCTTGTGGTGGGGCTACCCCCGGACTGCAAGGGTTAAGTGCTTGTTTTCGTCCAGGAGCTAAAATAACAAAGATATACTCAACCGATCAACCGGAGATGGCTAGCTGCTAGAATGGTCTCTGCTGTCTCGCTCCCCCTCCACTCCAGCGGTCTGAGGTCCTGTGAGTTATCACGTCCAATACAGTGTCTAGCAGGCAGCCGTCTCTGAGGTTTGGGTGAGTATCTCTTTGTTATTTTAGCTCCTAGATGAAAATGAATACTTAACCCTTGCAGTGTGGGGGTAGTCCCACTGCAAGCAGTAAGTATTCTGCTGCCTTATGGGAAGGGGGTTTAACACCGCGGATGTCAACTGGTTAACAAGAGAAATATGAAACGTAATACAAGTATTTATTACGGGGCTATAGCAAGCAAAGCATGATTTGTCAAGGGTCAGTAACAGCATACCTCACAACTTTCTGAGATGGGAAAGAGGGACCCCTTCCAGCATGAAGTATGTAAGCAAAGGACAGGCCCCTGCCACACCTCCAGTAATGGGCAACACAGTAGTAATAGTGGTTAGTGTTTCTGCCTCGTAGCACTGGGGGTCTCTGGTTCGAATCCTGGCCAGGTCAAAAACGCATGCAAACACCCTGGAACACACTAAAAGCCCATTTTAAACTTAAACATTATTTTTTTTTAACCAAAAATGGCCCAGAACGCGGCAAAAAACGCAGCAAACAACGCGGCACAACCCACTGCACTGCGCGTGCAGAAACTCATGCAGATCTGGTCTGCAATTTGGTGTGAACAAGCCCTAAGGGCAAGGACTGATGTGAATGTAAAGCGCTGCATAAATTGTCCAAGCTGTATAAATACCTATAATAAATAAACATGGAGCACGAGGATTATTGTGCAAAAAATTATTCGTTTTTAGTTTAACCAGAGAGTTGCTTTGTTAATCACTTAATGTCCTTTATTTTAGCTATTCAATATAAAAACAAATTATAATGTAAGGGTTAGATAAAAGGTTTAGCGCAGTAAAAATGTTTGATAGTTAAATAATAAAAAATGTTATTGAGATCTATACATCAGACCAAAAAAAAGGGACAGTATTCTGACTCCGATTGTTGTGATAGCGATATATCCCTTGTGAGACCTTTATGCCTGGCCTGTATAAGCAGATATACTCACTGCGGACAATCCTTGTCAGATAGCTGAACTCGTCAATACCGTTTCATCCAAAAAAGGTGCTTTATTTTTAACATCAGGGTTACAGCAGATGATAGGAACAGCAGATTGAATGGTTTTAGTATTGTGCGGTCAAAAAATTATGCCTTTCCTAGCGTACTATGCAGAATACATGTGTCCCTGTTACATGTGGCCTGTTAGCTGTGGCCATGACACAGGAAGTACTGACTCAAGAAGAAGGGAGGGGCATACATTAGGAGGAAATACGTCGTAAAGGGAAGAATTACAGAAAAACAGGTGTGTTATCACGAAAGGCCACTATAGAATGACTATAGAAAATGGTATAGGGAAAACACACTATATAAATTCTCATCTACTAACAATCCTAATAACATTTCTATGCCCCAATCCTAATAACATTTCTCCAAATGAGGGATAGTTGGAAGCTATGCAAATAGCAGTGACCTCTAGCAGTCTTATGTAACCTTTCACTGAAGCAAATCCCCAGTCTCTGACCATCTTCTGTTGCATGTCTGCAGACTCTGATAGCTTTCTGTAACATTACATTACTGAATATTATGTGCAGCCCTTTGGTGATGTCAGGGGTTGTACGTGAGGCCCATATTTTAAGTACGTAGCCTCCTACCACTGCCCTAGATGATTTATTGACCTATGAGCTATCCTTAGCTCAGAGCTGGACAAATCCCAGGAACCAGGTAGCCAATGGTCCTTGAAAGTTACAACTGGTGCCCAGCTCTTGAGGGTTTCCTTAGTTGTTGTCACCGCAGCTGGATCTTAGGGTAAATCTTGGTGGCTACTGGATTGGGCAGACTGGCTCCTGGATTCCATATTACTGTATCAATAATGCAAAAAAAAAAATCTGTACATATAAACTGGTTTTAAGGGTAGAAATGCTTTCAGATCTTGACTTTGTACACGGCACTTTGTTCATTCATTTTTTACTGGCTTTTGCCATTTCCTTAGATAAAATATTTCTGCACAAATTCTTTACTTGTATCTCATGCAGTTTTGAATGGCATTTTCTGGAATCTGTGATCAGGACCTAGAGAATATTAGTACTAAACACATACTGTATACTGTAGGTGTTGATGCCTTTCTTTTTCTCCAGTTATAATTTTACTACAGCTATATACTCCTGAGTTTCCTTAAAAGTATATGAAAATAAGCAGAGACAAATGTAACCATGACAAAAGTACAAGTGCTAATTTACTATCTTTTGGAAATCATTGCCATGAATAGAAGTACCTGATGCACATTTATAACCTGTTGAACTTGTTTGATATGATCTGCTACTCTGTGCTCTACTATAATGCGCCGATTCTTTTTTGTGTACTGTTTGTTAAGTCATATTGACATCTGTAGTGTTTTGGGCCTGTCTCCTGTCTTAAAGAAAGAATTTATTAAAAAGAAGAAAAACCTGCTAAACCTAACTCCACTGTTGTACCACATAATCCCCACATACTTTTCACAATCCAGGCTTTAGACAATGCATCTGCACAATATCTAGGCAAATAACAATGCATTCCATCATATGCATAGTAAACAGAAGCTGAAAATGAAAAACATATCTGTGCGCAAACTACATTAGATTAAACAAGTGAAAAGCAAATAAAGATAACATACTTATGTAAATGCATGCATGCAGATTAATATATCACAGAGAAAAGATAATCGGGGTCAGAGTTAGAGAACATGGAGCTAGTGAGTTTATTTTACCCTCTGGCAGTTGTAACTCTAAGCCGAGCCGTTCCCATCCAGAAGACTGATTCATCAATGCATTCATTCCATCATGTGACCCTCCATATAAAATAGTTCCGGTACTGAAATCCCTGGCCTGTCTCTGATAAGTATTCATCTCTTTCACTGCACTACATGTTTCTGCATGTGGATTCCCACATATAACGCATTAGCAATGACTGGGTGGGGTACACATAAGCTGACATTTCTACCAGGTTATCGTGGACAATTTACTACAAGTAGGCAAGGGTTGGGTCCTGAATGCAAATATGTGACATCTTCACCTACACAATACTGTTGCCAAAACATTCCCTTCTGTAAAGCTACAGTATAGTGACCACTACACACCACTGCCTTAGTTTGAAGGTGAGAAGGAAGGGCAGTACCCTAGTACTATACCAAATATTAGAACTATATACTTTTCTATTAATATGTATGCATTTCCCATGAAAAGAGTAATCAGTAAGGATGCATATGCATCTGCTTTGATAGTATGGTCACAGCATGCAGACTGCCCTGCAAAGTACCTCCACCAACACATACACCCTATGTAGAGCAGATAGCAAGTTTACTAAACAAAAGTTATAATAAAATGCTCAGCTGGGTCATGTAGCTCTAAATGACTCAACTGCATTGGGGAAATTTATCAAAATTGGAGCAGATAAAATCTGCAGCAGATTTGCACTGCAATCAGCTTCTATCTCTCATTTTCAAATCTCAACTGAGCAAACTGAAGAAAGATGCTGACTGGTTGCCATAGGCAACTGATCCCGTTTTGATAAATTCCCCCTATTGTGTTTAGCATTCCAGAAACTGAAAACATCCAATTGACGGTATTTGTCAAATTCAGATAACAATTATAATGGTCAGTGTATCTGGTCATCTATTCTGCGGTAGCCCACATCATATATGTGTGTTTTGCATTGTTGCAGGAAATTTACAAATGGGCATAAAACACAAATGGACAAATACAAGAGAAAACCAACACCCTGCATACAATGCGATCATGGCATCTGAATATTTTCTGTGGATACCAATACCAATGTATTATGTACCAAGGTATCCTAAACTCTTTATTAGCATTAGTTTTACTCGAATGTTAAGACAGTGACAAAAACAGAGCAGAGCAGTGACCATACACCGATGAAAAAATGGTCTACAAAACTACAATTATATAACCTTTCAGCCCCGTTCACATTGAGCGATTTATCGCGCGGTAATTCCCGCGATATCGCGCCAAATTACCGCGCGATATCGCGCTCCAATGCATTTCAATGGGGCAAAGGGTCCTGCTGTCGCGGGTCGTGTGTCGCTATCGCGCGGCAAATCTTGCGATGTCGCGCAATATGCAAATCGCACGACAAACGCGCGATTTGCATATTGCGCAGTGGGAACGGGGCCTTCACCTAAAGCCCCGTTCCCACTGCGCGATATGCAAATCTCGGGTTTGTCGTGCGATTTGCATATTGCGCGACATCGCGAGATTTGCCGCGCGATATCGCGTTCAAGCTTGCATTGAGCAAGCTTGAATCGCGGCTAAATCCGCTCCAAAAAGGGTCCTGCTGTAGCCAGGCCCGTCTTTAATACTGATCGGACTCTGGGCAAACATTTTCTTGGGCCCCCCCCAGGAATTTCTCTC